CCGCCTCTCCTTCCTTGCCTATCCCTTATTCACATCAGGGCAATATCTTCTGCTGGGTAACGTAATACTGGTAATCATACGTGTGATGGCAAAAGAAGCTCCTGGATTAATGCTTGAGACAGAAGAACAGCCATGTCAGCTCAGGCTGAAGATGCATCTGAGGCAGTCTTTGCCTCCCATGTTCTTTTTTTAAAGCCATGTTCTTTGTTTAAATTTTAGGTAATGCATTTTTTGCAATCTAGAGAAAAAGTTACATATTTGCAGTATTTGCAAAACAGCTAGTTTCTGGACAAAAGTCTAGTGGAAGCTAACATTTACTTCATCTATTTAGGCATTACGCTTGCTGAAGAGCAAACACAATGCTTTTGATGGCAGAAGGAAAATAAATATGGGTTTTTTTCCCATCATTAACCAAGAAAAAACCACTTAGTTGTCTTGAATTGTCTGTGTTTTGCAAGAGAAAATGTTCACTGAAGAGATAAGCAGGGAACTGAGGGGCCTGTTCCAGATGCAAGTGCAGATCCACAAGGCTGATGCTCCCTCAGCCCTTTGGCAAGTGCACAGTTTTCTTCTCACCAAACTCATCCTGTTTTTCAGTCTGATTTAATGGCTTATGTCACCTCTGTCTCTTCCCATGCACTAGTGCTCCGAACTGGAAGCTGGTTCCCAAGAAGTCCAGATCTGCGTTTTTGAGTTGTTCAACTCTAAAACAGGACCTGGAATCTCCTGTAATGAGTTGAGCCATAAAAGGTCATTCTAATGGACTGGATAATGTAGCCAATTATGATTTCAGTAAATCCCGTTGTCCTAAAACAGCATACTGAATCCTCTCACAAGTTCTCACACGTGAGGAAGGGCTTATCCTGCCTGCTGTTAAGGGGACAGAACTTGTGGTCTGAAGCCATGTGTTTTGCTTACAGACTCCATGCTCCAAAGCAGGAAAGCTGAAATATAGTCCTTGATCTGTGGGTCACATTTCATGATCAAGAACCTGTATAACAAACAGAAAAAAAACCTACTAGTGTACTTGCTTGACACAGCTATTTGCCAAACTTTGCAGTTATATAGATGTGGGGTCTGATGGGATGAGTTATGCAATTCAGTGGAGTAGACTGCTACTTTTCAATTTCTTAATTCAATTTATGAAATCAATTTAAAAAATCAAAATCCGTTTACAAAAGGAATAATGTACAAACTCAATCCATTTTCCTACTATTCAGAAGTCATTGTGAGCCCCAGGCAGGCAGAGGAGTAAAATGCCAGGACAAACTGACCTTAGGGAGAGCAGAGCTGTCTGCGTTTTTCTACCTGAATCCCTGTGAGGCTGGATTGAGCAGCATTTCAGCACTGAGCCCAAACAAAGCTCTGCTATCTCCTGCACCCTGGGGGAATGTGCTACAGAGGAACCTGCTTCTCTCTTTTCTTACCCCCTGGTTGGTTGGGGGCTGCCCCATTGCCTCATCTGGAGGGGCTCTTACTAGTCTGAGCTAATAACCAAGCTGGATGTGGTGGCGTTTGTCCAAAGCGATTTGAACGCAGCTGCCTTGTGTGCTGGCACACAGCAGGCTTCCTGGGGACCCAGCTAATGGCTGAGCTGGACCTGCTTGTGCAGGACCTGCATGGCATGGAGGTGGCTGCATGGCTGGACCAGAGGAGGTGCCAGAAGGAACCAGATGGGACTTGGATAATGCTGAGTCTCATCATAGCGGCTAGGATATGATGGCCCTGGGTAATCGAAAGTAGATCTTGCTCATTTTCCTCTTTTCTCCCAGAGGAGCTGTTGAACAGGACCATGCATCTCAAAGATGTGCTTTGTATGTATGTAATTCTCAGTTCCTTGAGGGTTTTGGGGTTTTTTTTACCTCTTGTTTACAGCTACTCTAGGAGCTGTGTTTGGCTTAACTACCTGCCTCAGTGCAGAAATCCGAGAGGAACCAGAGGATCCCTTGAACTATTTCATAGGAGGCTGTGCAACAGGAGCTGTCTTAGGTGCAAGAGGTAAATGTGGATAATGTCTGTAATGAAATGAGCCCTCTTTGTTTTTAGAAACCTTTCTGTTAGGGAGAAATATAAAATAATCTTGATGTCAGGCTTATTTGGCAAAGATTCATCTCAGTAAGTGAATTCCATTTCATACCAGTTTCGTTAACGCTCCGTTGTACAGGTCTGCTAAAATAGATGCTGCTACAGAAGGAGGCTAAGAGAGAGCAGACCCACTACTGCCAATTATAACTACCAGTTATAACTTGAAATCGTAAAGTTGTGGAAATCCATGTTTTCTTGGCAACAAATGTGATTTATTTTACACGGAAAATATAATCTAAAGTCTGCCTTGTGAATTCTTCATGTGCTCTGAGTGACAAGCTGTATCTTGCTGCTGTTGCTCCTGTAACATCTTGTCAGGCTAGATTAACTCCTGCAGATGTTTATACAGCTCTCTTCACTAGGCATTTTCAGACCCAGTGTTAAAGATGTGAGGGATTTATTTAAGTTGTAATTGTGGTGAAATAGAATGTATCTTTACTTTTCCTAGTTGCTGAGCTGATGAGAGTTCGAAGCAGTTATTGTTATTTTTGTCACTGAAATAAGCAATTTAAGATTGCCTGTGTAATGAGAAGGGGTAGTGGATTATAGAAATTGATATTTCAAACTGCAAGCTAAAAGCATGACAAAACTTAATTTGAAAAATTATTGCTTTTCTGATTTCTCTTGGCAAACAATGTTACTGATGGTCAAGGGACTCTGAGTAGCTTATGAAAAAATTGCAATCTGTTGAGATCTACTGCATAGTACTTGTGCCCTAATAGATCTTTTATGGTTTGATTTGTTTTTTCCAGCTCACAGTTACATGACCGGTACCACTGCATGTTTGGGGTTTGGAATTACCGCTGCTCTAATGAAGATAGGTAACAAGGAGGGCTGGAGGCTGGCGGGACCTCCCAAGCTGTAAATGTCGCCTTTCCTCCCTGCGAGCTGTCTTTTGAAGGCTGTATGTAGTAAGACGTTGTGTAATAAAGATACTGTCAGATCAGTGGTTGTCACAAAATTTTTACATCCTCCGGCTGTTTGCAGTGTTGGGCTGAGAAGCAAAAAAGGTGAAACTATTGGAGAGGAAGCTTTGATTAGCTCCTGCTATTTCTTTTTCATGCACAAGCCACTTTGCCTTCATGTCTCTGTATTGCGCACACAAGCTTGAGGGGTACAATTACTGGTTTTGGTCTGGTCTTTTAGGAGTTGTAATTTCAAGTGGGTCCTGCAGGACTTTTTGGCAGGGATTGGGATTGCACCTCACTGAGTCCATCAGGAAGGGTTTGGAGTCAAAACTTCTGAAGAGACGCTTGGCTCTAGGTTGAGGATTAGGAATTCGGGGTGGGGGAAGTAAGTATAGATTGCCCACAAGGTGTTTAGGAGCCTGGGGACTTTCTCTCATAGGAAGTGTAGAGCCCACAACTTCAGGGTTAGAATTGGGGAAAATAGCTGAGGTTGGAGGGACCCCTGGAGATCTTCCTGCTCTACATTGGAGCAGGTTGCTCAGGGCTGTGTCCAGTTGAATTTTCTGTGTGCAAACTGAAGCATGTCCAGCAAAGCCACCAAGGAGGTGTATAGTGTTAAGGCACAGGGTGCACGAGGAGAGGTGTGCAGAACTGCACCATTCAGCCTGGAGAAAAGAAGGTCAAGGCTGATGAATTACCATTTTTTTCACAACTCGATGGTTACAGAAAAGGCAGGATCAAGTACTCAATAAAAGGTGAGAAATAACAAGCACAAGTTGCAGGAAGGGAAATTGTAACTAGATAGGAAAAAAACTCACAGTTGGGGTAGATAAGTGCTGGAAAATGGACTTGGAAAGGCTGTGAAATCATCAGCTTTGGAGACACAGAATTCAACCAGATACATGGGAATAGGAGGGTACAGAGACAGGACATTTGGGATGGGGATGTGAGTTAATAGAGACAGTGAATATGGGCATGAGGGGAAGCAGGGATGGGGGGTAGGGTAATACAGGGAGGTGTGAGGGGATGGGACAGGAGATACGGCAACCGGGGACAAGGAGATTGGGGACCCAAGGGCAGCAGAGGAGGGGACAGAGAGACACAGGGGGACAGACGGTCACAGCCATGGCAGGCTGTGCCGCTCCCTGGTGTGTGTGCTCTGTGAGCAGGTGGGGGTCCTGGGCATGTGCAGGACGGTCTTGCAGGCACTTGCGGCTGGGCCAAGGCACCAGTGGCCTCGTGCTTCCTGGCACTGGGGCTGCGGGACCCCTGGCTCTCCGGTGCGGGGGACAGTGGGGCTGGGCTGCAGTTCAGGAGCACAACGGGTGGGGTGTCATGCCCCACGGGGCTGGGAGAACAGGAGGGGTTGTTTCTCTCCCACCCAAGGGCTTTTGAGGGAGGCCCTGCTTCACCCTGGCATCTGGAGGTGAGCAAGGTTTGCGGGGGACTGATGGGCCAGGGATCCCCAGCAGGACCTGCCCAGGGTAACCCAGGGTTTACAGCCCTGCCTGCACCTTCCTACTGCCTGAGAGGGGAAAAAATGACAGCTTCCACCTGCCCCACTGCCTGTCCTCAAGGAACCCTGGTGTCCCTGCCACCCCACCCCAGGGCTCCAGGACCTCGAACCTCCCTCCGCCTGGGCCTCTCCCAGCTCCCAGTCGTGGCCACGTGTCCTGTCTGGGCTATAATTACCCGGGCACATTCCTGGGGGGTCACAGGAGCTTCCCGAGCGGCAGCAGGCGGTAAGGGGGGACGAGTGCGTGGCACGGCAATGCAGGACACAGCATACGGCTCGCACCACGCCGAGCTGCAAAACGTGGCCTGAGCGAGGGCACGCGGCACTGTGCAAACACAGCGAGCGGCACGTGAGGCACCACTCGAGATGGGGCGGGGGGCGCGACAGCATGCAGCGCACCGCGGTGTGGCACAGCGCGCCACGCCAGGGTCAGCGCGCCCCGACAGTAAGCAGTGCGGACAGTAAGGGTGTGCGACCTGCAGCATCACGCACAACTGGCAGTGCAATGCATCACAACACGCAACAGGCAGCACACAGCAGTTGCTGCTGCGCACCGAACAGGTGGGACAGGCGGCTTCACCGGGAGCTGTTCTGGGGACCAGCAGCTTTGCCACTGTTGGAGCACCAATGGTCTTGACTATGGGGCAATGGTTGGGGAAGGGCTCGGTGGGTTCTGCTATAGGGTGGAGGGTTTGATGGGAGACAGTGGACTGAGCTATGGGGCTGTGGCTTTCAGTTGGGGCAGTAGCATTGGCTGTGGGTCTGTACCTTCATCCTGAAGGTTCAGCAATGAAGCAGACGATCAACCTCAGCTATGGGATGGTGACAGGTCTCACCTATGGGGCAGCAGTTTTGCCAAGGGGCACTGAATTCAGCCATGGCACAGTAGTAGTTCCTGGTGGCCTCAACTATGGGATAGAGACTTTGGTGATGGATCCAGTGGCTTTCACTATGGGACAGTGCCAGG